TCATATGTAATGTCAATCTCTTTGATGCTCGTTGAACTAAGTCCCTAGGCTTTGCTTGTGTCCACTTTTTTTATGCTGATATATCAACTTTTGGAGAAATATAAAATGCAGAAGCACATGGCAATATCTCTTTGTAAGCCAAAAATGCCCAAGTTCACCATTAGTTCTGAAGTTCAATATTAATTTTGACTTAAAAATCTTTAGGAATGTTGTTATTCATTTTGTTTTCCCATCAAGATATTGTATTCTTAACTGAAACAATCCTCAATTTTGTTTCCCCAGTGCAGGTTATATAAGAAAATGGATACCTACATAACATGTCTAATTGATTGAAGATCATCTAAGTTATTTGGGAAGCTGTATTCTCGTAGGGATAGGAATGCCTTGCTAGTGAGTCTTATTAGTGTATTATTATGTATTTTTGTTTAATTCCTTTAGTAGTGTCTTATCTTCTTGTTGTTTTATATAGGATTTTGGTCATATTAGGGTGTGTAGACATCCTATAAATACATGAAGGGATTCATCATTATTCTATAAACTGCTTATGAATAAAAACCTACCAATATTGTCTTATTAAATTTAGTGTCTAACAACTCTATGATCATGCTGATGATAACCTATGATTGCAGATTGAGTTATCTTCCCTTCTTTTTCTTTTGTTTTAAAACATATTCTGGTATGCTACATCACTAATAGAGTAGCCTATATCAAAAAGCTATATCCTCCTTCATTCAACTGTATGGAGCTTTCTACTGTTGTCAGGGTAGAGCTTGCTAAGTGCATTGCTAATCCATCATGTGCGGCAAATGTTGCTTGCCTCCAAACATGTAATAATCGGCCTGATGAGACAGAATGCCAGGTTTGTTCTGAATTCTAATGGGTATAGCTATTATCAACAACGGAGCCAAATTCTGGTTATACTAATATTCTTAGAGTTATTGCAGATTAAATGTGGGGACCTCTTTGAGAACTATGTTGTTGATCAATTCAATGAATGTGCAGTCTCAAGAAAAAAATGTGTACCTCAGAAATCTGATGCCGGGGATTTTCCTGTACCTGATCCTGCTGTTCTTGTTAAGAGTTTTAACATTGCAGATTTCAGCGGGAAGTGGTTTATAACCAGCGGCTTGAACCCCACCTTTGATACTTTTGACTGCCAGTTGCATGAATTTCATATAGAATCCAACAAACTCATGGGAAATTTGTCTTGGAGAATAAGAATGCCAGACAGTGGATTTTTCACTCGATCAACTATGCAGAAATTTGTGCAAGACCCAAACCAACCTGGGATTCTCTACAATCATGATAATGAGTATCTTCACTATCAAGATGATTGGTACTTCCCTCAAGTCTGCAACTCTTTCTCATGTTTGCGCACTAGATTTTTTTTAGCATTTTTATGAAACCTACCAAGGTAATTACTATGAATATATTTTGCTCTTTGGATACTTAATCAGGCAACATAATGAGTTCTGATGCCTCAATTCATGTTTGTTGAATGGACCAAAAAGCTAGTGTATACAGTCTAATTGGATTATTCTGATTCCCTTATTGATGGTGAAAACTACTCTCCATATTACAGGATTTGAGATAACTTTTATGAATCTGGTAATTCTGATGCAAAACAAGAAAATCTTGACATAAAAGTTTTTAGTGATAAATCGCTAGCCTTTGTGCTTTCTCAGAATATTGTTCTGTCTACAGTCAAACATAATCAGTTTGCGTGATGTAAGCTCCGAAGAAAAATTTTATACCAGTTGTAGCATTTGTGCAATGGAAAGCAACATACTTCCTTGAGAAATGCATTTAGCTTTTTCCCCCAAATGTGGGTATTATTTTTCTTTCACTTCCACAAAAATGTTGCAGAATTCGGAATGTAGTCATCTTGCTAACAAATTGGCAGCCCTGTAATGTGGCTGACCAGCTAAAGTCTTTGTTCTCCTGTTCTTCAAGTCCACTCTGGCTCTGGTAACTCATTTTCATTCTTCAACATGAGTCAGATGTTAAATCTTCCATGCTAGTCAA